ACAAGAGTGAGGGGCAGAGGGAGAGAAAGGGGCAGAGGGAGGGAGAATCTCAAGCAGGCTCTGCTCTGCCAGGGAGGGCCCAACTCCAGGCTCAATCTCACAATCCTGAGATCATGAACTGAGTAGAAAGCAAGGGTCAGATGCTCAACCAACAGTGCTACCCAGGAAAAAGTAACAGGTCATACTACTAACAGCCAATAATAGCTGCTTTGGCTACTAATGCTCAAGAGTTTGGAATAAGACCATTTTCTTAATTAACCTTATAATGTTCACCGCTAAATCTCCCTCTTATTTATTTATTTATTTATTTATTTATTTATTTATTTATTTATTTATGATAGTCACAGAGAGAGAGAGAGAGAGAGAGGCAGAGACACAGGCAGAGGGAGAAACAGGCTCCACGCACCGGGAGCCCGACGTGGGATTCGATCCTGGGTCTCCAGGATAGCGCCCTGGGCCAAAAGCAGGAACCAAACCGCTGCGCCACCCAGGGATCCCCCTCTTCTTCTTTTTTTAATTTTTTTTAATTGAAGTTCAATTGCCAACATATAGCATAACACCCAGTGCTCATTTCCCCCTCATTGCCCATCACCCAGTCACCCCAACCCCCTGCCCAAATCTCCCTCTTCTTACTTTCATATAGCTTTAATCTCTATTCACTGATGGTATTTCTTTCTCTTTAATATTGCTGTCATTATTTATCTGTTTACTTAAAACCAGAGAATTTTAACTTAGAGTCCTTAAAACCTGAAAATTACTTGAATTGGCTTCAGGAGAGCCATAAGAATCCTTGAAACTGGTCTTAACACTTTTTAGGAATATGCACATGTGCATTTTTCTAGCAAGATAGTTTGTAACTTTAATTTTCTGAATACAAGTGTAAGACCTCCATATTTTAAGAACTACCACTTCAACAGGCAAATAATTACATTTTAAATATATTACCTAACAGTTATTTTTTGTGTTCTTTCTCTGGGCCAGTGGGCCATGTGTCAGTTCTTTTAAAACTTTACTATATATACACCGTACCAGGAGAGTTTGTAAACAAAGTGCATATTCAGATTTGGTATGCCTGGGTGTCTAAGATTCTGCGTTTTATTTTATTTTATTTATTTTTTTAAATTTTTATTTATTTATTTATTTATTTATTTATTTATTTATTTATTTATTTATTTATTTATGATAGTCACACACACACACACAGAGAGAGAGAGAGAGAGAGAGGCAGAGACATAGGCAGAGGGAGAAGCAGGCTCCATGCACCGGGAGCCCGACGTGGGATTCGATCCCGGGTCTCCAGGTCGCGCCCTGGGCCAAAGGCAGGCGCCAAACTGCTGCACCACCCAGGGATCCCCAGATTCTGCATTTTAATAAGCTCTCACATGCTCCCCGTGTTTCTGGTTCTCTGAAGGACACTTTAAACAGGAAGTCTAAAAGGCACAATAAACTAACAAACAAAAACAAAACAATGGTCTTTATCCTCAAAGAGCTTAACATTTATGTGAGAAAACTTTGGCATAGTCTATTATAATGTATCTGTAGCACTTAGCCTGATATAGCAAACACTAGCTTGATGAATAGACAGTCTCAAGCAAATATTTATAAATGCGAATATAAAGTAAATGCTAACTTTATGTATAAATGAAGTTTAAAGAAGACAGAAATCAGTGTAGCTAGTTATATTCTTCATTGATATTTCCTGATCTGGGAAAGCCCATGTATTAAGCTTTTGTTTTTAAGGGGATAAAAGTTAAAATAAGTAACTTTTTATTTATATGATTTATTGGTCACGACAGACTGACTATTGTAACAAGGAACTTTACCATTTCAGTGGATTAATAAGAAAAAGGTTTTGCTCATTTATTTTTTAAACATTTATTTATTTATTTGAGAGACAGTGAGCAATTGAGGGGAGGGGCAGAAGGAGAGAATTTCAAGCAGACTCCCTGTTGACCACAGAGCTGCCCATTGGCCTCAATCTAAAGACCCTCACATCATAACCTGAGCCAAAACCAAAAGTCAGAAGCTCAACTGACTAAGTTAGACAGGTACCCCAGGGTTTTTTGCTCATTTAGATCTGGGTCCCAGGGATCCTGGAGGGCAGGGGATCTGTCTCATACAGTTCTGTAGGAATCTAGGTTCCTTCGTGTTGACTTAGACTGACCTCTAAGGTCCAATAGGAGGGGAAGAGCAGGGAGGAGCCCCTGAAAGGGAGCTGAGAAATATGTTTCAGTGTTGTGCCCAGGACAGGGGGAGAATCATGTGTGTAGTATTTTTTCCTGCAAATGGTTTGTAATCTCTATAGAAAAAAAGAATTCTTTACCTAATCAAAAGAACTTTAGTGAGTACAGCAGACTGTGAACTCTGCAGTAAGGGCCCTGTCAGTCTTTGCTGCCCACTGTATTCCCAAATTATAGCACAGGGGCTATCACCTAATAGGTGCTCACTGAATATTTGTGGAATGGATTAATGTTCAAATTCCTTAAAGAAAAAATTTCTTAAAGAAACAAATTTAGTTGCCCTCAAAGATGGTACATGCAACTTGATCCATGGAGATTATAAGGTATTATAATATTTCCATATGATTTTTTTAAAGAGAATTATAATAAACATAAAACTCCAGGGTTATTTAGGTACATATGAGCATTGCCACCTAAACCAATACCCATACCAGCTAACAATAAAAAAGAATAACCAAAATTAAAGTCAACTAATTTTATTGAATATAAATCCAGATTAAGGGCCAAATTTTTACTTAATATTCAACTTTATTTTCTCTCTGCCCAGTTTCGAAGATCCCTTTTGCAACTGCTATGTTTCCGACCACTGAGATGCCAAAGGCCTGCTAAGGACCTACCAGCCAATGGGAGTGAAATGCAGATCAGACCCATTGTGATGTCACAAAAAGATGGGGACAGGCCAAAGAAAAAAGTGACTTTTAATTCTTCCTCCATTATTTTTATCATCACCAGTGATGAATCAGTGTCAATTGATGACAGTGACAAAACCAGTGTGTCAAAAGTAGATGTAATCCAGGTTCGTCCTTTATAAGAAGGAATAATGGTAACGTAAGATGAGGCCTAATACTGGAAACCACTTCTAGACTTCCATTATAAGGACTGTTTTGGAATCCCCATTCTATGTAATAATTGTTGGGGAGCAAAAACTTTCCTGTACCCTAAAACTTTCTTCTGCCTGGTGTGGGAATTAAATTGATATATGAGACAGATTAACAAGAGAAAAGAAAAGTTTAATTCTGTGTGCATGAGGCCCAACAATAAAACTGAGACCCGAAGAAATGAGCAAGGCATGTAGCTTTTATATATTTTAGACAAAGAGATATAAATCTGTAAGAATTGACGGGACAAAGAAAACTCATGTTTAGGAACTTCAATTAGTAAAAAATTCTAAGTAGGATTTGAACTGCAGTAGTAATTTAATAAAAGTAACAAGATTTTTTTATGTAGGTTATTTTAGCCCTCAGTTCTCTGTCTCTGATGACACAGATGTCTCTGTACCTCATGGTGTAGGGAGATACCTTTCACATAAGAGATTTCCTGCTTTCAGGGACACAAATGAAGGACAGACTGTCCTTTTTGCACTTGCTATTTCTTAAGTAATTTTAATTCAAATTTGTGGCATACTTTGAGGCAGCCAGCCCCACAATATTAACAGAACTTTTGTGGCCCAGCAGAAAATCTGCATTACCCATATGCTTTCTGGACTCTGGAAGCAACTGAGCAAGACAAATTGTTTTAATTCAATGGGTGCTTTCCATAATGAAAAACCACTTATGGCACAAGATGGGCATCTGATACCATCAACTTCTAACATGTTAGAAATTTTCATCTCAAATATATTTTTTTAAATGACACTTTTTTCCAAGGCACATAATACATTTTTCTCAAAAATACTTAGGTGTATTTATAGCTCAAAAATAGCTGTAAAAATAACTTTGTGTCATACATGTGTGAAATCACTAGGAAATTTTGAATTTTCTGTAGTGTTGGATCCTAATCACTGTCACATCCTATGTTGGACCAATCAAATTTATCAAAGAGACAATTTCAGGGTGAAAAAGAAAATCAGCACCCTGGCTTCCTCTGAAACAAAAGACTTGCTATATATGCAATGTGATAAAGAGGAGCTTCAAGATGAATGTGCTGGTGAGCAAGCTCCAGAAAGGATATTAAAAGCAACCCAGCAAAGAAAAGGTGGTGAATTTCAAAGTAATCATGGAGTCTAGGGAATCGTACATCAGCAGAGGATGTACATGGAAAGGGTATGTTGATGGCAGATATGTATTTCCATATGTTTCACTTCAAACATAACTTGGTTATGAAAAGATTATTCTCTTTTTGACAATTTGCCACAATTTTGTCAAGAGTTTTTGGTTTGGAGAAGGAATTCCAAGCAAAAAATGAAACCTACATTTGAAGGGATGAAAATAACTGTAAAACTGTACTCATAAAATGTATTATTTAATCTTTTTGCTCTTCAATCAGTCTACTGGTTAATCAATGCTCGGTGTTAGTGATGATGCCATTTTCCCATGAGTCATTGTTTAGACTAGACACAGCTTATTAGAACTCAAAGATTTCTTTGACATTATAAAAAAGAAACTAAATCATTTTACTTTATTGCCTAGTTTTTATTTCTTAGATGACTGTTACTGGTGTAGTGTCATCATAATTAATCATGTTTGAAAGACTTCTGAATGATTCAGTTGGCCTATTGAAGAAGGAAGAACCAAAGAAAATGTGTTCACAGAAAGAACTTTTCAAAATCAAGTTTATTGCTGGTTAGTAAACTGCTTTGAGAGTCTCAAATGAAATAATTTCTATGAAAACAGTCTTCCCTTATTTCCTTTCCACTCTGTTGTATATATCAATGTTTAATTTATAAATAAAACTCTTCTTATTCTTCACTTAGTTTGGCATTAATAGCCCCCCCCCTATTTTTTTTTAATCTTCAAAAGTTAATACTGGACTTTGAGGACTGTGAAGTAAAATTAGTTCATTTTGTAACTCTCCAGAGTGCCTCAAATGCCTCATTTATACTTCCAGTTTTAGTAAATGAAGCCGAGTTCTATGTTGGATAAGTTCCATCCAGGTGATCAAAAGTGTACTTAACATGTTAGGGAAATCATAGTTTTTAAGTTTAGTCCTATCAATACTTATTGATTCAGTCCTATCATGACCTTAATTATGTCCTTTACAGAGAAGATGTGATCAGTGTCTTCCTTGAGGCCTCTGGCACTTTATTTTTTGAGAAGTGAAAGTGTTCTTAGTCATTGCACTTTTATATTTAGAATGACCACACCGATGTGTAGTGTTGTGGGAAAGCTGTGCTTTGCAACTTAAAATGGTAGTTTGGGGTTGTTGTGTCCCCCCGCCCCCCCTCCCCCAATAATCACAATAAACACACAGAGAAATTCTATACTGAATTTAATTATAAGCTGACATACTTTTTACTAGTGAATGAATTAAATATGACGGAAACATGGTTTTGACACTTAGTTTTAGTTACAAAGAAATCCAACTGTTTGTCACTTCAGAATCTTTATATTAACTGCTAATGACATTGGGAATTTTCTCTAGTGACCCCATGGAGTTTGCAGGGAAACATGTCCTGTTTTCTGGAAGTGAGCAAGCCAGTCCCATGGTCTTCTGAAGTAGTGTAGGGGTCTCAGTGACATGGCGCACATAAGTAGGTAGGTACTACCAATGGCTATAAGTGTTCCAAAGAAAAAGAGTCCTTTGTTTATCACCTGTAAAAACAGCAAGAAATCTCATTTTATTTTTCAGAGACAAAAATCTTAAAAGACTTCATTCTTGAGCAACCAAGGGGTTTACAATGTCTTCTTTGTTCTTTAACCTAAAACAGCGATTTAATTGCATGACCACTACAATGGTTGGTAAGGCCAGGAATTTGGAGATTCACTCCACTGTCTTTATCCTCTCTTACCCTTCCCAGAAATAACTGAATCCATGGGTTCTGTATAATGAATTCTTAGCAGTCCACCTTTGTATAACCATAAACACGCACACACACACAGAGTTTAGAAAAAAAGAATTCTGAATGCTATCTTAGAAGAGTACTGTGCTGAAGCCACAAGTGATTCAGTCACTGCTCAGACCCTGCACAAAGTCTCCTTGAGAAGAGTGATTGGCTCGGTGATACTAAATGTCCTGCATTTTCACTGCCTGTCACTGTCGTTACCCTAGCAGACTTTTAACTCCTTGAGGGCAGAGTTTGTATTTTATTCATTTTTATAGGAATAAATCTAGATTCCTTCTAATCTAGTCTCCACACAGCAAAGCATTCTTTCTAAAATCCACACCTGAGTCTATTAGCCTCATTTGGTCTCTCTCCTTCTCTCGACATAATAATAAAAAATGCCTGAAGTCCTTTTTACCCTTCCAGCTGCATCTCCAGCCATTGTCACACACCTGCGCTGCCTTCCAGCCCCACGAGCCCCACCCATCCTGTCCATTGCCATTCTCCTCCAAGGCAGTTGTGCCTCTTCACCTTAGCTGTTTCTGCTCCACCAACTTCTGAACTACATGAGGAAAGGGGTTGCTGCTGATTCATCAGCATGCACAGCTCAGTCTCCAGATATTAAATAAAATGACTTGCTGAATGAATAAAGTTGTTGGATTTCCAAAGTCAAAGGTTAGGAATCTGAGGGTCTATTTACTGGCATCTCTGGGTCAATTGCCCAAAATGAACATGTTATGGCAGTAAATTGGAATTAGATGATATGTTTTATAAGTGATTCAATTCTGTCCAATTTTACAAATTAAACCCATAAGAATATTGCATGAAGCAAAGGTCAATTACTAAATAAAAGTAAAAAATCACATTGCTAAAATAAAGTAAAATGTTTAGAAATATTAGCATCAGGGGCACCTGAGTGATTCAGTTAGTTAAGCATCTGACTCTTGACTTTGGCTCAGGTTATGATCTCAGGGTCTTTGGATCAAGCCCTGAATCAGGCTATGAGCTCAGTGTGGAGTCACCTCTACCTCTTCCTCTACTCCTTCCCCCATTTGCATTCACATTCTCTCTCTCTTAAATAAAATCTTTAAAAAAAGAGAAAGAAAATCACTAACATCAGTTTCTTTTTTGAATTTCTTCACTTCAGAAGCACTCACTTTCTCCCTCTCCCTCTTGCTCTCTTTCTTTCTTCCTTTTTGTAATTTTGTTCTTAGGCATTTTTCCCTCTGTGTACCAAGGACAGTTTTTACTTGGAAGCAAACATTTGATGTCTGTCACATCATTTCAGAATCCACCTGAAGAATCATAACCATAACACAATGAACTTCAATTTGTTCTGACCTTTTTCTGCCAATGCCAGTGCAGCAGTGCCTCATGGTATCTTATTCTGGAAAAGGTGATCTGCAAGGAAGTTTTAAAAAGTATTATTGGGATTCTTTGATGACTAAACAGAAGAATAAAATGAAAAGTTGTCTTAAATTCAGACCTTACCATGGTATAGAGAGGGATAAAGGTAGATGGCATAATAGCATGAAGAAATTGCTCCATGTTCTTTTGGAAGATGAACCACCTCGAGTTGACATGTGCTCGCATCTGCAATAATGTAAGAGTCTTAAAGAACACCTCAAATGAGTGACCTTTATTTCTTTGCTACAACATTATACTTCATTCTTATTCACTGGAAAACTGATCACAAAGTAGTCAAATTCTTATTTCTTTAATAGTCATTTCTGATCCTTTTTAGTAAAAGTATAGGAGATTACCTTGAAAAGATTGAGCAATTGCACAAAACCTCTTAGAGAACTCTATTTTCCTCAAGAGGCAATACAGGAACCTAATTCAGTGAAAAATTTGTACAACCAAATCTGAGGATAGTCTGTGGGATCACAGATTTGACTAACTGCCATTGTTTCCTAGCTGGTTTGGAATCTTCTTCATGCCAAGAAGGGATCTTTCAGGCGACATCTGTCTTGACTTACTTCATATTGAGAACTAATATTGTGTTATAGCTGTCACAAAAACACAAAGCAGGTTACATCAGTGAAGCTTTTCAGTATCTTATAGAACTTCCTTCACCACATATGAAACAATTCTTCTCAAACTGAAATCCACTTTATTTTTTTCTGTCTTCAGGAGACATGGAAAATAGCTAGACTCTTTTCTTTAAATTTATCTTGTAAATTTTTTCATTTGATCATTTAAAAACTGTAACCATAGTTATTTACTGTGAACTTTTCATGTAACTGACTCAAAATGTAATTGTGTTTTTCTTCTGAGTATTAATCTTTGAACTATGTATTTCTTTGGTATATACATATTTTTTTTCAGTGCATAAGGCCCCAAAGGATATCTAAAGCTACTCCAAATTTGCAGCTTATAATGTTAAGAGTGTTAAGTTATTTAAGGTTTCTTAAATCTTCCAAATATGTTAATACATATCAAAATTACAGTTTCCTTAAAATAAAATATGATTAGCCCTACCAAATGTCAAAGTTTTGAGCCTGTGAATTATCAATTATTGAAGCCAGACATTTTGTCATCTTTGTTACCTCCAGATGTCCCTAAAATGTAGATAGAGATGATGTGTGGGGATCATTGTCACATCTACAGTCACAATCCACCCATGTTCAAGGAATGCTCTGTGGTGTGTGTGTGGGGGGGTTTTTGGTACCTATTTTTATTAGCATGTATGTGATGGGTCAGGAGCAAAGAAAAATTAAAGAACATTTGTGATTTCTGGGGAATATCACAGAGTAGGAGGATCCTAGGGTCACCTCATCCGATGGATACACCTAGATAATAATGACATCAGTGTAAAAAACCCAGAAAATGTCCTGAAACTGGCAGAACAAATTTTCCATAGCTGAATGTAGAGAGGAGGCTACATCAAAAAGGGTAGGAAGGGCAGAGACACAGTTAGGAGCCAAACTGGCCCACAGGACTATCCACAGGACGTAGGGATACTGCTGGCATGGAGCGGGGTGAGCAGGACACTCCACACCAGGCACCTTAGGCATAGGGCATAACCACACTGGGAGGAAAAATCCCCATAACATTTGGCTTTGAAAATCAGAGGGGCTTAATTTGGATATTTCCTACAATCAGTGGGGCTTAACACCTGGAACTTCAAAAATCAGAGGGCTCTGCTGGAGGAGAGCTGGAGGGTGAGAAGAAACTGAGTCCCTACCCCTAAAGAGACAGGGCAACAAAAGCCTTACTCTATACAATTTAGCATAGAAGCAACAGTTTGAAAAATGCCTGGGAAATGTGGGAAGATTTATTTACTAATCTCAGAGCATGTGCTAGAGGGACAAATATCTTTGGGAGACTTCACAAAACCCCAAAGAGCTGGCGCATGCCATTCGCACCCCTGCCCCCCAGCCTCAACACACAGAACCACTGCAGCACCAACAATCTCCATCTACCTTGCTAACAGCATACCTACTCCCACATTTTCCTGCAGACTTGCCCCCTCCAACCCACCCTTGGCAGGACTCCATCCAAAGCAGTACCACAAGCTGGGCAGTGGCAAGCAGCCCCAACAGGGGCCAGCACCACTGCAAAGTGACTCCTGCCCTAGGGAGAAAGAAATATAATCACATATACCTGTCCAGACATCTGGTCTGACTGCAGGCCCTGCTCACCAACAAAAATTTTACAGGGGAAAACAGGGAGAGTGTGCACTTTGACGGCATCACAGCTCTGACCAACACCTCGTCCGAAGGTAATCCCAGTTTGGCTCACTAACTACATAGGCCAAAACTCTGTCCACAACAGGCAAAGACAACTTCTGCAGATGCTTGGATTGAAGGCAAATGTTGGTCAACATTTGGGCACAGGCGACTAACAGAGGAGACTCCCCTGAAGTGTCAGGTGCTGGTGAACAGGGGATACTGCACTACAGGGCACCGTAGGACCTCCTCTTCAAAGGGGTACTACTTTCTATGTTTGAGCAGAAGATGTAGCTGACTTTCCTAACACACAGAAATAGACACAGAGATTAAAAAAAAAAAACAGAGAGGAATGAGTCCCAAATGAAAGAACAAAAAAAATCAGAGCAAGAGACCTAAATGAAATGGAGATAAGAAGGGTGCCTGGGTGACTCAGTAGGTTAAGTTGTCTGCCTTTGGCTCAGGTTATGATCCCAGGGTCTTGGGATCAAGCCCCACATTGGGCTCCATGCTCAGTGGGGAGTCTGCTTCTCCCTCTTCATTTGCCCCTCCCCCTCTGCTCATGCTCTGTCTCTGGTTTTCTCTCTCTCAAATAAATAAAAAAATGTTAAATAGAGATAAGTAATGTGCCTGATAGAGAATTTAAAGTAATGGTCCTAAAGTTATCCATTGGACTTAAGAAAAGAGTGGAGGACCTCAATAAGACCTTCAACAAAGAGATGGAAAACATACAAAAGAACCAATCAGAATGAAGAGCTCAGTAACTGACATTAAAAATATACTAGAGGGAATAAATAGTAGACTAGAGAATGCAGAGGAATGGATTAGTGACCTGGAAGACAGAGTAATGGACAGCAATCAAGGTGACTAGGAGAGAGAAAAAAAATGAAAATAGACTAAGGGAACTCTGACACTATCAAGCATAATAATATTCAAATTATAGAGATCCCAGAAGGACAAGAAAGAGAAAATGGGGCAGAAATTTATTTAAATAATGGCTGAAAACTTCCTGAATCTGGGAAAGGAAATAGATACCAACAGAGAGTCTCCAACAAAATCAACCCAAGAAGGTCCACACCAAGACATGTAGTAATTAAGAAGGCAAAAACTAGTGACAGACTGTTTTAAAAGCAGCAAGAAAAGAAATCAGTTACACAGCAGGGGAAACCTCATAAGTCTATGATTTACGTTTTTAGCAGAAACTTTACAGACCAGAAGAGAGAGGCATGGTATATTCAAAGTGCTGAAAGAAAAAGCTTGCAGCCAAGAATACACTACGCAGCAAGGCTATTATCCAGAATATGAGGAGAGATAAAAAAATTTCCCAAACAAAAGTTAAAGTTATTAATGACACTAAACCAGCCCTACAAGAAATGTTAAAGGGGAGTCTGAGCGAAAAGGAAAGACCATAAATAAGAGTAAGAAAAGTAGGAAGAACAAAAGTAGTAAAAATAAGTATATCTATAGAAATCAGTCAAGGGATTCACAAAATAAAAGGATATAAGTATACCCATATAACCTAAAATGTAGGATGGAGGGAGAGGAGTAAAAAATTAGTGCTTTTAGATTGGGCTCAAACTTAGGTGACCAACTTAATATAGACTGCTGTAAGCATTCTTTGTTATATATAAACTACAAATGAAAAACCCGTAATAGATTTCCAAAAATAAATGAATCCAAGTATACCACTAAAGAACCAGCAGACCATGAGAGAAGGGGGCAAGAAAAGGAAGGAACAGAGAAGAGTTACAAATTAACCATAAATGAAGCAACAAACTGGTAATAAGTACTACCTGTCAATAACTACCATTAATGTTAATGGGCTAAATGCTACAATTAAAAGACACAGGGTGACAGAATGAATAAAAAGGTAATACCCATTTATATGCTGCCTACAAGAGATTCATTTCAGACCAAAAGACACATGTAAATTGAAAGTAAAGAGATGGGAAGAGATTTATCATGCAAATGGAACTGAAAAGAAAGCCAGAGTAGCAATACTTATATCAGATAAAATAGTCTTCAAAACAAAGACTGTAATAAGAGACGAGGACATTATATAAAGGGAATAATCCAACAAGAAGAAAGAGCAATTGTAAATATTTATGCATGAACATTGGAGGACTCAAATACATAAAGAAGCTAATAACCAACATAAAAGAAGTAACCAATAGTAATACAATGATAGTAGGGGGCTTAACATCCAACTCATATCAGTGGATAGATCATCCAAACAAAATCTGCAAGGAAACAATGACTTTGAATGACACATTGGACCAGACGGATCAAACAATTCAGAACATTCCATCCAAACACACATGGAACATTCTGTAGAATAGATCACATATTAGGCCATAAAGTAAGTACCAATAAATTAAAAAAGATCAAAGTCATACCATACATCTTTGCTGACCACAATGTCATAAAACTAGAAATCAATCACAAGAAAAAATCTAAAAAGAACACAAATACATGGAGGTTAAATAACATGCTACTAAATAATGAATGGGTCAGCCAAGAAATCAAAGAAGAAATCAAATACTTTATGGAGACAAATGAAAATGAAAACACAATGGTCCAAAATCTGTGGAATGCAGTGAAACTGTTCCAACCGAGAGAAATTGATAGTAATATAGGCCTACTACCTTCAGAAGCAAGAAAAATCTCAAGTAAGCAACCTAACCTTACATCTAAAAGAACTAGAAAAAAGAACAAACAAAACCCCAAACCAGTGGAAGGAAAGAAATAATAAAGGTTAGAGCAAAAATAAATGAAATAAGAATTTTAAAAATTCTTGGGCGGCCCGGGGTGGCTCAGCTGTTTAGCGCCGCCTTTGGCTGGGGGCGTGATTCTGGAGACCTGGAATCGAGTCCCACGTCGGGATCCCTGCATGGAGTCTGCTTCTCCCTCTGCCTGTGTCTCTGCCTCTCACTCTCTGTATGTCTCCCATTAATAAATAAATGAAATCTTTACAAAAAAAGAAAGAAAGAAAGAAAGAAAGAAAGAAAGAAAGAAAGAAAGAAAGAAAGAAAGAAGAAAATAGTTTAAAAAAAGAATTTTAAAAATTCTTGATCAATGAAACCAGGAGTAAGTTCTATGAATAGATCAATTAAATTAATAAATCTTCAGTCAGGCTCATCAAAAGAGAGAGAGAGAAAGAAATAGATATAGAGAGGACTCAAACAAAATCAGGAATGAAAGGAAAAATAACAGCTGACACCACAGAAACAGAAAGTATGATAAGAAAATATTTTGAAAAAAAAAGAAAATATTTTCAAAAATTATATGTCAACAAACTGGACAACCTAGAAGAAATGGTAAATTCCTAGAGGCATAAAACATCACAAAACTGAATCAGGAAGAAGTAGAAAAATTTGAACAGGCTGATTATGAGCAATGAAATTGAGTCAGAAATCAAAAAATCCTCCACAAACAAGTCCAGGACTAAATGGCTTACAAGTGAATTCTACCAAACATTTAAAGAGTTAATATATATTATTAAAGTATTCCAAAAAATAAAAGAGGAAGAAATGCTTTCAAATTCATTTTATGAGTGCAGCATTACCCCAATACAAAGCCAGGTAAAGACACCACAAAAAAGACAGCTATGGGCCAATATTTCTGATTAATGTCGATGCTAAAATACTCAACATAATATTAGCAAACCAAATCTGACAATACTTTTAAAAAGTCATTCACCATGATCAAAGGGGATTTATCCCTGGGATGCAAGTGTGATTTAATATTCACAAATCAATCAATGTGACACATCACATCAATAAGAGAAAAGATAAGTATCATGTTCATTTCAATTGATGCAGAAAAAGCATTTGACAAAGTACAACATCCATTCATGATAAAAAAAAAACCCTCAACATAGTAGATCTAGAGGGACCATTCCCCAATATAATAAAAGCCATATGTGAAAAACCCACAGCAAACATCATACTCTAGTGAAAAACTGAGAGGTTTCTCCCTAAGATCAGGGACAAGATAAAGATGTCCACTCTTACCACTTTTATTCAACATATCACTGGAAATCCAACTATAGCAATCAGAGAAGAAAAAAGAAATAAAAGGCATCTGAATTGGTAAGAAAGAAGTAAAACTTTCACTGTTTGCAGATAACATTATACTATATATAGAAAATCCTAAAGACTCCACCAAAAAACTACTAGAACTGATATATGAGTTCAGTAAGGTTGCAGGATATAAGATTAATATACAGACATCCTTTGCATTTCTATACATTAATCATGAAGTAGCAAAAAAAAGTAAGAAAACAATCCCATTTACAATTACACCAAAAATAATAAAATATTCAGGAATAAATTTAACCAAGCAGGTAAAAGATGTGTATTCTGGAAACTATAAAGCATTAATGAAAGAAATCGAAGATGACAAACAGAAAGACATTCCATGCTCACGGATTGGAAGAACAAATATTGTTAAAATGTCAATACTATAAGCAATCTACACATTTAATGCAATACTTATTAAAATACCAATAGCATTTTCCACAGAACTAGAAGAAACAATCTTAAAATTTGTGTGGAACCGCAAAAGAGCCCCCAATAGTCAAAGCAATCTTGAAAAAGAATAAAACTGGAGGTAGCACAATCTCAGACTTCAAGATATACTTCAAAGCTGTAGTAACCAAAATAGTATGATACTGACACAAAAATAGACATAAATCAATGGAAGAGAATAGAAAGCCCAGAAATAAACCCACAAGTATATGGTCAATTAACCTTTGGCAAAGGAGTACAAAATATGCAATAAGAAAAAGTCTCTTCAACAAAGATGTTGGGAAAACTGGACAGCTACGTGCAAAAGAATGAAACTGTACCACTTTTTTATACCATACACAAAAATAAACTCAAATGGATTAAAGATCTAAACGTGACACCAGGGATGCCTGGGTGGCTCAGCAGTTTAGCACCTGCCTTCAGCCCAGGGCGTGATTCTGGAGTCCTGGGACAGAGTTCCACATCAAGCTCCCTGAGTAGAGTCTGCTCCTCTCTCTGCCTATGTTTCAGCCTCTCTCCTCTCTCTCTCTCCTCTCTCTCTCTCTCTCTGTGTGTGTGTGTGTGTCTCTTATGAATAAATAAATAAAATCTTAAAAAAAATAAACATGAGACCTGAAACCATAAAAATCCTAGAACAGAGCACAGGCAGTGATTTCCCTGATATCAGCCTTAGCAACATTATTCTAGATATGTCTCCCAAGGCAAGAGAAACAAAAGCAAAAATAAACTATTGAAACTACATCAAAATAAAAAGCTCCTGAAGAGCAAAAGAAACAATCAACAAGACTAAAAAACAACCTACAAAATAGGAGAAGATATTTGCAAATGACATATTCAATAAAGGATTCATATCCAAAATATAGATAATATATACACCTCAACACCAAAAAGCACCAAATAATCCAATTAAAAATGGAAAGAAGACATGAACAGACATTTCTTCAAAGAAGACATACAGATGGCCAACAGACATACAAGAAGATAGCCAACAGACACACAAAACGGTGCTCAGCAACACTCATCAGAGAAGTACAAATCAGAGCCATAATGAGGTATCACCTCACACCTGTCAGAATGGCTAAAATAAAAACACAAGAAAGAACAAGCATTGAGGAGGATACGGAGAAAAAAGAACCATCGTGCACTGTTAGTGGGAATGCAAACTGGTGCAGCCACTGTGGAAGACAGTATGGAGGTTTGACCAAAAACTAAAAATCGAATTACCACATGAATCAGTAATTCCACTACCGGGTATTTACCCAAGAATATGAAAGCACTAATTTGTAAAGATATATGCACCCATATGTTTACTGAGGACTTATTTACAAGAGTCAAACTATGGAAACAGCCCAACTGTCCACTGGTAGATGAATGGATAAAGAAGAGGTGGTATATATGATATATATACTGGAATATTAGCCATGAAAAAGAAGAAAATCTTGCCATTTGCAACAAGATGGACCTAGAGTAGACTATGCTAAGTAAAATAAGTCAGTCAGATAAAGACAAATACTGTATGATTTCACTCATGTGTGGAATTTGAGCAACAAACCAAGCAAAGAAAAAAAGGAGACAAACAAAATCAGACTCTTATTACAGAGAACAAGCAAGTGGTTACCAGAGGGGAGGTGGGTGAGGGGGTGGTTGAAAGAGGTGATGGGGATTAAAGAGTATATTTCTCATGATGAGCATTGAGTAATGTATAGTATTGTTGAATCACTGTATTCTATACCTGAAACTAATATAACACTATGTATTAATTACACTGGAATTAAAATTTTTAAAATTTTGTTTAAAAAGAAAAGACTATTTGTTAGACTATTAAGAATGATCTCATGGAATAGAGCTCAGCTCCCTCACTCACCTCTATATAGTTGTACATGGATAGGTCTGAGATGGCATGGTCATCTGGAATTCTCAAACTTGAATATTCCGGAAGACACATACCTAGGAGCCAAGTGAAATAATACATCATTTCCAATACAGTCTATGAAAATGTGCCAGGCTCTACACAGATCAAATTAAATGGTATATAATCTACCACTGTTCTAATCTTTTAAAACTTTGGGTAACCATGTAAAATGACCAATAATCTATGAATACTGAACAATAACACACAGGCATTTCCTATTGTGCTTAAATAAAACTTATGATAAAGGTAATATAATATATACTTACTGGTTATCAAATCATTGTTTTCTCTATTTCTTTATTTATTTCTTTATTTCAGGTCCTTAGAAATGACTGTCAGTGAGCCCCCCAGTCCTGCTTAGAACCTGCTCTTCTCCTTTCTGTCATTTCTTGCCACCCCATGCACATTTGTTTCACTGCACACAAGACACCTTATCAACTAACCATCAGCTCCCTCATTATTCTGTGATCTCCCAGAGGCAAGCCTCACGTTTTAATCATGTCCAAAATCTTAACCAGGTAAATGGTAAATACTGAATAAATACTTGACAAATGAACAACTAACATTATAATATAACCCTCGTATGGCCAATCAACACTGGTTATTAAGGATGCTATTTAAAAGTCAGAGAACCTGGCTGCCAGTCCCTGCTTCAACACTTGTAGCTATATGACTTTGGGTGAGTTACTTTAAGTCTCTAAGCTTAAATTTGCTCAGTTGTAAAATAGGGACAAGAATAGTGCCTATTCCCCATGCTTTCCATGAAGACCAAATGCAAAAATAGGTTTAAAAATAAGCAAGTGGGTCGCCTGGGTGGTTCAGCAGTTGAGCATCTGCCTTTGGCCCAGGGCGTGATCCAGGAGTCCTGAGATAGAGTCCCACATCGGGCTTCCTGCATGGAGCCTGCTTCTCCCTCTGCCTTTGTCTCTCCCTCCCTCTCTATCTGTGTCACTCATGAATAAATAAATAAAATCTTTAAAAAATATATAGCAAGATACCCAACACATATGAAATGTTCAGTAATGCTAGTTATGAGTATCATTGTCATAATCAGTTTTGTTATCTTTGTTCTGTAGTAGCCGAGACCAGTGTTGATAGTATGTTCTGATGTTCTGATATATGAACCCTCCATTCCCTCCATCATCTCTATCATTTGCAGATTAATCCCACAGGGGCTGAGACGGGAGAACAAATGCCTCTGGAGCAAAATGACTGGAAAAGGAAGCCAGAAAACCAGAACTTTTCCCTGGACCCTCTAGTCTCTGATCCAGACATGAGTGTCCATGACTTCCTGTAACACCATCACAAACATTTACTGTGAACTTCACTTTGTGCCAGACTTTTTAAAAATAAGCTTTACTTAGCATAATACCCTCTAGTTCCATCCACATCTTTGCAAATGGTAAAATGGAGCATATCTTGGGCAAATATTGGTTCTGGGAACTCTTTTCTTTGTGGGGATCACTACACAGACCTCCGGTTCAAACTTTAAAAGAAACTACATTTCCCTCTCTGAGTGCTCCTTGTCTGACATGGGTAACAATGGCATAGGCTGCTAACAGAAAAGTTTATAATCCTGAACGTGAAATATGCATCATAGGCTTGTGATCATCCAGGGTCAGAATTAGGTCCCAATTAATCAACAGGACTGGGCAGCCCGGGTGGCTCAGCGGTTTAGCGCCGCCTTCAGCCCAGGGCCTGATCCTGGAGATCCCGGATCCAGTCCCACGTCAGGCTCCCTGCGTGGAGCCTGCTTCTCCCTCTGCCTGTGTCTGCCTCTCTCTCTCTCTCTCTCTCTCTCTCTCTCTGTGTGTGTGTGTGTGTGTGTGTGTCTGTGTGTCTCCCACGAGTAAATAAATAAAATCTTTTAAAAAAAATCAACAGGACTGGTCTATGCCCATTTGAAAAATTTTACTTACTAAAGTCATTATTGAATTTATCCATTAACTCATCAAATACCAAGCAATCTTCAAAGCCCTAAAATAAGAAAAAAATGGGGAAAAATAAACTGGAAATAATTAAAGCTTTTGAGTAATTCTGAACAGACTTTCCATTGGTAAGTATAATTCATAGGATGTTTGCTTTCAACCAGCACACAACAGCTGCTTAGTCACATTTGGCATTAAATTATGATTACAAAAGACCATCAATAGCATACTTTATGGTTTGTTCTTGCCTGATCATATTGATTATAATGACTTGGAATTTGATAAAAATTTTAAATTGCTCTTATTATTTTGATGGATTCCATTGCTTCTTTAAGAAGCAAGAATAATTATATTAGTCTATGGGTATTTGAATAATATTTAAACTATTCAGTCTTTAAGGTTCACATTTAGAGCAATTAATGAAAGGATAGAACTCTTATATTAATTTAGTTCCTTTAAGCCAAGATTAAAGCAAGTTTTCAACATCACGAAGTCCACAAAATTAACCCTAAAAATGTTCTTTGCTGAATGCAGTGGGGAAGAAGAAAATCAAAAGCTAGATTTCCTGCTTTCTAGGAATTCGAACTATAGTTTTAGAGACAATATAAAAATATGTAAAAGTTAATATTTTCACATCAATTATAGAGATTATGGGGATCCCTGGGTGGCGCAGCGGTTTGGTGCCTGCCTTTGGCCCAGGGCGTGATCCTGGAGACCCGGGATCAAGTCCCACATCGGGCTCCCAGTGCATGGAGCCTGCTTCTCCCTCTGCCTGTGTCTCTGCCTCTCTCTCTCTCTCTCTCTCTCTGTGACTGTCATAAATTAATTAATTAATTAATTAATTAAAAATAAAATAAAAAAAATTATAAAGATTACACCTAAAGCATATAAATATACTTGTCAGCTATATAAACTGTTAATGCTATAGGAAGTTAGAGATTCAAAATACCATATAGGTTGTGATAATAATACTTATAAATTCTTTGCTTAATTAATTCATTTATTCCCAAAGAACTTCTATGCTATAGTCACTATTGAAAACCCATTTTACAGACAAAAAATAGGGATAAGTTAAGTTAGTTGCATAAGAACATATTCTAATAAATTCTGGAGCCAGGGTTTGAACTGGGCCTTAAAACTGCCAGGTCCCTTATTCACTATGCTAAAATGGGTGTGTTCTTATGTTTTCATAAAACAAAGTGTTTACCACTACTTTGTGGAAAATATAAGTGATTAGGGTTATAGCCTATTTATACTTGGAATATATCTCCATCACCAAAATAATAGAATACTGTGATTATAAAGCTATTCATCAAACATACACAGAATAATTATATTTAGAATTCTTTGAAATTACTATTTCATATTTGAGCACTATTTCTTTTCAGAAATATTTTTGTCTAGCCAGAACAATTAAAACTTCCATGAAAGTGGTAATTTTCAATGTGAAATCTATTTCATTTTCTTATTCAACTCTGTCAGTTGCGTTTTCCTTTCCTTTGGAAAGAAAAAGTGGAGAAAAAAACAGTTTGGGCTCTTTTTCTTTTTTGAGCCTAACATTTATATATTTATGCATAATCTCTAGAAAAAATTCAGATTAAGTCTTGAATTCTTGACAGTAAAATTCCCAAATTTCAAGCTATCGATACATTTTCTAACTGCACAGAAAACCATCTTATGCTTTATGCTTTTTCCTACTTGAAATTACTGGATCAAGCAACCCAAGATTTGACCTTAGTGATCAATCTAACTGCTGGTAGGATTGTGGATTTGATTGTTTTCTAAGAGATTATGCGGGGATAGTTTTAGATATGACTGTTATTTAAGATTTTTTGGTTGAGGCAGACTTACTTGGGGAGAAAGGACTTACTGCATTCATTCCTTGCCCAAAAAAGGGCACTATGGCATGAGCTGCGTCCCCCATCAGCACACAATGTGATTTAAAGTGAAAAGAAGAGCACTTCACAGATATCATGGACTGGGCCGGCAACAGAAAGAAATCTCGTGCCAGGGCTTGCCTTCAGAGGGAAACAATTAGAATGCAACCATGTTAAATTGGGTGTTAAATCCTGCATAATTCTTTCAGCTGTATTGACTTCATTACCGTTGGGTTTTACTAAGAGACACACAAAAATGCCAGAAAGAAAACAGGAAAAAAAGAAACTGAAGTCCCTTCTAGTTCCTGAAATTCCATTGTTCTAATTACCTATACTGTTTGCAACCATGTTAACCACAACCAACCAGGACAAATTTGACTGCATTTTGAGAACTCAGAATACATTGTGTGTGTGTGATGAAATTTTATTATCATGCATAAGGGTCATGCAATTTTCAACTATTCAGGTGTGTTTTAGGTTTTAATGGAAAAATCGAGATGTTGTGCATCTGACTAAACCACACAAACCAAAATTAAAATGAACACGAATTTATATATATTTGGAAGCGGACAATTGATATTCAGCTCATGCTCGCCAGGCATCTACAGAAGTTTTTGGCAGCTGTAAGTAGAGAAACAGTATATACCCTCAAGAATTTTAAGTCTGGTTGGAGAGGCAAGAAATAACCATGAACCATAAGGGGTACATTGTGGTGTGCAGAGATTTCTCCTCAACATCAGAGAAGGAGAGATCAGGGCACCCTGAATTTGCAGGTAAAAATGAAAATCAACAATTTTAAAGAGACTTGCTGTGGGCAAAGGCACTTAGTGAGATCAAATGATAAGCCCCTGGGGAAGGTGGGGTTGACAGGAGCCAGAGGGGCCAGCGGGGCTGCAGGTCAAACCAGACAGATAACAAGCGGGGGCGGCTTTGTAAGTGCCAGACCCTGTGCTGAATGAATTATAAGCATGAACTCCTGCAGTCCTCATCAACTTTTGGGAGCAGATATTGCCATCTACTGTTATGTTACCGTGAGGGTGAGGACCTTGAGAACTAGGAAAGTGAACTCAGCTAGTCAGTGAGAAGCCAGATGTGGCATCTGCTGGGCCTTGGACCTGTGTGTCCACCAGCATCAGGAAGCACAGCCCTGCTCTGCAGCTCGCCAACGTCCAGTGGCCTGAGTAAGCCTACTCAGGAGGCAGAAGGGTGGGGGGACACAGGTGATTTGTTTTTCCTGGGGAAACTGACCATGGCATGGGGTTTTCAGAATCTCTGCTCACAACACAACATCCGCTTAGACTTTTGCTCTAAGGCTGGCTTCCTGTCCAGGATCAGTTATGTTTAATCAGAACTAAAGTAAGGTGCATGATCTTTATTTGAATTTTGAATAACTCAAACCAGTAAAGCAAAAGGCACACTTGCACATCTTGAAACTTACTCTCCAATTAGAGGGACGGAATCTGGAAAGTACATCTTGAAGAAATTCAGCACATCACTGCTGGTTAGAAGTTTTTCAAAGTCTTCAAAGGGCATGAACAAAGTACACGTGAAAGATTTGTTCTGCGAGAAGAGGAGGAAGAGTGTGAGAGAATCTAGTCTCAGGTTCTAGCTGTAGCTGAGGGGCACCTGGCACGAATGTACAGACCATCAGGAAAGACACACTGGCTTTCTCCTCTCACTTCTAAAGAAAAACCCCACCAACCCCAGAAGCTGCCCAGATTCCTGCTTACTAGAGTTCTACCAAGCATACATTTCATCAAGCAAACACTATACTCTTTGGATTACTAACTGGCTGGTTGGATTGAATTTCTCCTTGCTTTTTCTGTCTCTTGTTCCTTTTCAGTTAACACTAAGAGGCATTGGATCCTAGCATTGCTGCCAAGGGACAGAAGAAGATCAACTAGAGAAATACATAGTTAGATTTATAGAACAAAAGAAGTTTCTAGGGTCTAATGGAAGAACAGCCAAGCCTCTTTTTTGACAATCTATATTCCAATGTCCCAGACACCTCAAAGACTAGAAGGACTTCCTTGTGTAGAGCCAGAATCTCTCTGGCTTTATTTGAAGGCCATTTCTTCCTACTCTGTTTTGGGGGAGATGACAGGCACTACCACATACAACATGCCATTTGTCATTTACATATGTTCAATCTCCTTTCCACTATAAATAATCAGGATTCTTCCAGGTTTTTACTTAGGAATCCCATAGTTTCAATGATATAATCAGTAAATAGACTAAACAATGAGGTTAGGTACACATATGCTAAGTATAAAGGTAATTGGGCATACATACAAAATACAAAAGTAATGAAAAACTTTAATTATAGATGCAAAACTACATTTATAAATTTTAGATTACCGTGTTAGGCAGCGCAATCATCATAAAGGTATTTCTAGGCCAAATATGCAGATAATTAGGTTCCATGGCATACTGTAGGGGGAAAAAGTATATTTGTGTTGGATTGGTACATTAATGCAGCCTATCTATAAAGCTGACTCTGCTGGTATTGTAATTGTTTCCATAGCAATTCAAATAGCATCATACACATGGTGATATGCACACCTACTGTTTTTTTTATTAAGATTTTATTTATTTATTCATGAGAGACAGAGAGAGAGAGAGAGAGAGAGAGGCAGAGACACAGGCAGAGGGAGAAGCAGCCTCCCTGCAGGGAGCCTGACATGGGACTCCATCCCTGGTCTCCAGGATCACGCCCTGGGCTGAAGGTGGCGCTAAATCGCTGAGCCACCCAGGCTGTCCACACCTATTGTTATTTAAAGTAGGTGCTTTCTGTCCTGTCTTTAGAAACTCATATTACTTAGGTGGGTTCGAAATACCAGATAAAATTCAAGATTTGAACAAGCTATGAAGTGTTCTCTCTCTCTCTCCTTCTCTCTTTATGTCCATGCACATGATCAGACCTCCCCCACATACATACATACATACATGTATATACATACACACTATATACATACACATATAAACTATATATATATGTACATATATATGTGTGTGTTATGTTTTTAAACTTTATTTTTCACATTACTTGGGGACTTATTTGTATGAATAGAAAGGTCCTAAGTTTAAATTTCATGGGCAAATATAATTTTACAAACAAGCATCTTATCACTTGCTTCATACAACATAAATAATAGAAAGAAGTCTACTCTTTTTAGTGACCCCGCGACAACCCAATAGCAGCCTGAGTGAGTATTGATTGCATGGGCAGATCAACTAAAGCCAAAGACCCAACTGATCCTAATCCTGGAGATTCCCAGGGGTATCATGCACATATAATCAGTTATTAACCATTTCAAGTATGCATTACTTTTTACAAAGATTCTGGAGCACCTACCATGTGCGTTTGTTACATGGTAAGAAGAACACAGAAAGCACAGCATGGGCTTCTAGCCAGCATTTTCACATTCTGTTAGAGTTCTCTGTGTCTTCCTTTCTGCCTTTTGTTCTCAGAGCCTCAAAGAAAGCTCAATGTGCAGACACAGGAATGAGTCAGTGCATAACTCTCTGGCCTCAAAAAGGTTACCGTGCAGTTGAATAGGCAGACGTTGAAGTAGAAGTATAGGAAATAAAAGTTGGGCAGGTAAGAAATTTGTGGGGCTGGAGTGGTCAGAACTACAAAGGGATTCATAGATAAGAAGTGAAGGACTTCTGGGTGAGGGTGAACCTGCCAAGCAAAGCAGAGGCAGTGTTCTAGGTAAGGAGTTTAGAAAGTGTGAGCAAGGAGACCAGCCTTGATGAGGCAAGTGGTCCTTGCTTTTCCCTCTTGCTATCTTTGGACCACTTCCATGACCTTTTAGAACTCTAAAAGATAAGAGTGAAGCTGAAACTGATTTAGTTTCAGTTTTATTGAATTAGTGAAGGTTCAAACGGCTGATAAAAAGTTTGGGAGACAATACATACCCCACCTCCTATCCTCACCATTGACATAAATAGTGGTATATATGTTGTTTTGATGTAGCAGCTATGATGCCAAGAATGTTTTGGTGTTCATTCATATTTCACGACTCTAGAAAATTATCCCTTAAAATTTCAGTTTATTACCAGGTCATGCTCTTAATAGATATTTTTATTCAAGAGCAGTCCCAAGGTCAGGCTCCAATAATCCCCATTGGGCCTTTACCTCAAGTCTCTCCAAATGTGAAATGTGAACAAAATAGGTGCTTGCTATGCAAAAGCAGGTTTGAGATGAGCTTCCCATCTAATCCTTGAAAGCAATCCCCCAATATTCAACCATGGTCTCCCTCAAACAATCTTTCTCCCCCACTCCAACCCCCTGAGATGGAATGAAGAATCCATTGTATTAAAGAAGGGGGAGGCAGAAAGACAGAGACAGATGGAAAGAAGGAAGGAAGGAAGGAAGGAAGGAAGGAAGGAAGGAAGGAAGGAAGAAGGAAGGAAAGAAGGAAGGAGAGAGAGAAGGAGGGAAGGGAGTTTTCCTAGGATTATTTTGCGGCCATGTTAAAATACTCCTAGGTCTGGATCCCACTGGTAGTCAAAACAGTGTTTCTTTAAGGGTAGATAGTTTTTGTAAACCACTAATCATCTGTATTAAGTATGAACACCTAGAACAAATATATGACTATCTTAGATCTACATTAGGAGGCATGATTGCACTCACGTCTGGGGCAATTTTTCAACAGAATCCTATTATCCCACAACCCAGAATGATCAGATCCTGGGCAATGAGAACAAGGCTCACCTGAAAACATAAAATTAGTACTTCAGAATTATCAAATAATTTTGTGACCAAGAGGAAGAAATAGACAATGATTTAATGTTAAAATATGGATTTGACTGGTTGATACAGTTTGGTATATACCTGTTATGTAACAGGTGTTAAAGAGCTATTTTATAGATGTCTGAATTTCAAATAGGAAAGATTGCATCTTACCTTAAAAATAGACGTTTTATATGCAAATCAAATTTTAACTAACACTATTTATCTTTGCCTATAAGCCAAGATCCTTATTGCTTCCTTTTTTAAAAAAAAATATTATTTATTTATTTATTCACGAGAGACACACAGAGAGAGGCAGAGACATAGGCAGAGGAAGAAACAGGCTCCACGCAGGTAGCCCAATGCGGGATCTGATCCTGGGACTCTGGGATCATGCCCTGAGCCAAAGGCAGACACATAACGGCGGGGCCACCCAGGCGTCCCTTCTTATTGCTTCTGTTGTTATTTTAATTTCCCTTAGTAAGTTCCTGCATTTATTTGCTTCTGACAATATAAAACATACCTATGATGTTTGCCTCCAACCACATAGGGTTGAACTTGAGAATCAGGAAATGAGAAAAATGCATTGGACATCTCTTTGCAACAGCTTGCTTTTCACTTTATTTAATAACTGTTATTTGATATAATCATTAGTATAAGAGCTCTGGATTATTAGTACACAGAAGGATTCCCGACCCATTTTTTTCTCCCAGGAAAAAAATAGAAAAAATGACATGACTATTCAGACTAATTCCCTGTGCATTTTGAGTAGGGTAGCTGTGATGCCTCTTCTTCCCTGCCCACTGAAAAAAAAGCGTATCTTGATGGCAAAGGAGAGAAGTGATATTATTAAAGGGATATTTCCACACCCAAATTACTATGTCTTACAAAGGACTATGACAGACCTCAGAATTCATCCAGACATGTTGCCAAGAATGAGTGCACTAGAATATACGTCTTCGCTAGTCCAAGGGGTGGGAGGACTGTGGGAGGAGCCAAAGAAAGGAAAGGACTTACATCCCCATTCTTGGGTGGAATCGTGAGCTCCATGTACCCATGAGGAATATACTGCTGACTGTAATCAAAACGAGGTTTCTTCATGAGGTAAGTTCTGACAGTGGAATAGGCTCCATCACATCCGACAATGAGGTCATAAGTGATATCTACAGGAACTTCGTCAGATCTGAAAAATAAAATGTACTATAAAAAAACAGTCTCATGGTAAAAATGATGATGGATATAAAAAGTAGCAACTCAGAGGGCCACTCCTTACTTGTACATATCTGGCTTTGAACTTGAAGTCAATAGCTATAGAATAAAGATGACAGCCGTCATCCTCATGACAGTATTGCTCACAAGAATAAGAATAACACCACCGTACTGATTAATAAGGACATGCCAGGCTACGGAAGTGTGACTAAAGCTTGAGCTCTCTGCACAAAGGGAGGGAGTCTCAAGAAGAAAGCTGAGTGAGGGAAGGGATGGATCACAGCAGGGACGTTCTCAGGACTTGCCAGGAGCAATATGCTTAGCTTGAGTGGAGAGCATCAGAAGATAAACTCAGGAAAGGAATACAGTGTGGGGATGGAAAGGAGGAAGGAGAAAAAGAGAATTTTAAATGTTAAGACAAAAGGTTTAAACACATTCTTCTGACAAAAGAGAGAAAATAACGTTTTCCTTTGAGGGGATGATGTATGAAGAGTAGTAATTTAGGAACTGGCACTGGAAATATTGAACTGGAGGCAGAGTGAAGGAGGGAGGGGACAAGGAGAGGAAAAGGTGACCACAGCAGTCTGCATGTGTAGGTGTGAGAGCCCAGAAATGCAAGGCTCAGGAGAAAGACATAGGCTCTGAAGCCATCAGCTAGTAAGAAAGACTGGGCAGGGGTCATAGATTTAATGGGGGGGAACAGAGAAGAGGGCGCACCAAGAATGATTCTAATTATTTGGGTTAGCACTAGGGAAGTCAAGAGTGGACGTGTTTGGAGAGAAATAGATGGTGAAGTTTTAATATGTGTTTGAGATCATGGCAAGAGATACCTATGATGATGTCGAACAGGAAAATAGCATGGAGTAGGATCCAATGAGGATTGAGAGTGAAGAGACAGAAGATAGAGACACGGCCTCGAGAAGTTCATTTTAGCAAAGTGAATTTATAAGTGGTTGCTGAACAGACTGGGAATCCACGACACATCCCAAGAATGGGACGCGGGGCTAGTAACTTTAGAAGAAACAGAGGCAGCCACGCAGAGTCGGTAGAAAAATAGCTTCCAGAGAGAGGAGAGGAAACGCAGGGCAGTGGAGGGTCATCTGTGTCAAGGGCAGAGAGCCTCTGAAGAGGGCGGTCACCAGTGTGGAGCATGGTAGGACCCTGAGCCAGCCTGAGTATCAAGAAGAATCACTGGTGTTGGTATTGAGAAGGCATCGTAGGCTGTTTTTTTTTTTTAAGATTTATTTTTATTTATTTATGATAGACAGAGAGAGAGAGAGAGAGAGAGAGAGAGAGGCAGAGACACAGGCAGAGGGAGAAGCAGGCTCCTTGCTGGGGCCAACGCAGGACTCGATCCCGCGACTCCAGGATCGCGCCCTGGGCCAAAGGCAGGCGCAAAACCGCTGAGCCACCCAGGGATTCCCCAAGGCTGGTTTTTTTATCTGAAATTCTTTGAGCCCCTTTTAGTAATCATTTAATGCTTTCAAATAAGCCAGAGAACAAAGTTTACAAATGCAGTTCCCCACCCCAACCCTTCACCTCTGCTGTCAACAGGCTGACTGGTAATTACCCAACCACTGTGATGACTCCTTCCTCAGGATTACATTTCAGCAGCCTGTGGCCAAAGTGCACCTTCACATTGGGATATTTCTCAACAGCTGCGGAGACAAAGAACAGCAAATAGAAATGGAATTCCAATTCTTGTTTCACTTATTCAAATTGAAATAGTAATCATTTTCTGAGAACAGTATGTTAGAGACATTTATTCTTAAGAATGTAAAAATGAATTAGTTAAAATGGTAATTTGACCACTATTTGGCAAATGTTCCAGGACAATTTGGTAGTAAAAGTGACGAATACAAATCAACTATCCTCATCCAAAAAAAAAAAAAAAATCCAATTAATTCCATTATGCAAACTCTTACGTTGCTGTGATGATTGTCACCCTGGAAGAGAAGCAGGCAACACATATTTTTAAAGTTGCCTCTAATTTAAGACTTTATGCTTACAAATACTTAGCCAAACTCCCTTTTACATGCTATGCCTCATTCTTTATCTCTTTTTAGTAAGTCTCTAGACTTCTGAGTCACATCACAAATATAGATTTTTTTATACTAATTATTTTTGTAATCAAATACCAGAACACTTAGGGAACAAAGAAATGAGTAAGAAGATTTAAAACTTCTCCATAAACAGAATCAAATTATTTTAGTGCTTTTTTATATTGCCTGCTGGCAATCTATAGAAGGTAGTGAATTCATCATATTCTTCTTGTAACAGTAAACAATTATTTTTGTCCCCATTAATTCTCATGGATAGGATGCCTATAATTACAGGCTATTTATTGTTCTTAAGGCTACAAATCAGTTTTATTTATGTGTAAGAAATCTTTTGGAAAATAACTTTGGAGAAATCAGCGTTTATGTGAACCACTAAGGATATCTTTTATAAACACAAAATGTGTTTGTGGAATCAATCTTTTAAAAAGTTAAATTAAATTCATTTTTAATTTAAATGTTTACTAATATATCCCAAAGAATTTTCCACAAACACCAGTCCTGGAATATGCCCCCTAACAAAAACCAGTTTGTAGTCAAAGCCATTTGTAAAATCCTGACACTCAGAACTTTCTGACTGTGCAGTCCTGGTCCTCAGCCATATGTGGCTAGTCTGAATGGAGATGTGCTGTGCACATTGGGTTTTGGTAACTCAGTAAAAAAAAAAAAAAAGTTCTCACGAATAACCATCTTCTATTGATTACACATTGAAATGATAATATTTTGGATATATTAGGTTCAAATATATTGTTAAGCTCAACTGTCTCTTTTCTGTTTTTAAAATGTGGTTAATATAAAATTTTAAATTACACACGTAGCTGGCATCTGTGGCCATGTATTAGACAGAGCTGCTCTAGAAAATCCACCACACAGGCCAACAGCATAAAGAGCCTGGAAAATACTGTAAGAAAACTTTAAAAACTTATTTTGTGCAGCATTTATCAAATTTACTTGCCCACATGTCCTTTTCCTGCTTGCTTTGCTTTACAATTATTAACATCCCCTCAAGTAGTGAACCATGAAACAATCCTACAGGAAGTACACGGCAATGATTTTATCCCCATGTCTTTGGTGGGGGGAGGTGTTGTTCAGCCAGGAGCAAGTGTTTGCACGCAGAGCGGGCAGTTCACACATTTGTGTAAAGGAATGACAGCTGTATGAAAGAATTCATATGCCAGACAGCGTTTAAGAGCGAAGGGAGTCCACGTCCACTCTATTCACATATTAATGGCATTTATGAAGTCGCACACCATGCAGCACATTTCTAAGGAAAAATAGGTCCAGGAGCTTCTGGTCTGTCCACCAAGATCAGCTCTTTCCAAATTGTAGTTCCTACTGTTAGCGGATGTTTCATGTGTAATATTGGAGGTACAGACTCTATGGGATAAGTGCATGGACTTTGGAGTAAGAGCTCAAGCTCCTGCCCAGAATCTAGCACTTATTAACAGTGTGGGGTGCTACTCCGGGGAGCTCTGGAAGCCTCCTTACCGTCTTTAAAACTGAGGGAAAAGGAGTTCTCAGCTCCAGGAGTTTTTGAGATGGTTATATACATTGATGCATGTATAACACTTAACATACTTCCTGGTGAATATTTGCTCTCATTTTTATCTTAATAGATTCAGAGGATGCTCTAAAGAAATCGTCTTAGGTCTTTTAAAAAAAAGCTGTTTGGGGACTTCTTGAGATCAATGAGTATATCCAGCAACCTATAACCCCTCCCAACATCTACCCATCCAAAGGATAGTCTTGCAAATATAAGAAGTAGAATTAAGAAAAATACTAAGCCATATTTCTGAAGTCCCTGGTGAATCAGCAGGAGTGAGCTTCACAGGCTCCTCCTGCCAATTCAGTTAAATTCAATTCAACAGACACACTGCAAACTCATGCTGGGTAGGGGCTGTGGAGAAACACAAATAAACCATGTAGAAGCTCTGCTCTCTACAACTCAGAGGCTGCTGGATTGCACAGAGGAATTGATTTAAAAGTCAGTAGAGTGGGTGGCTCAGCAGTTTAGCGTCTGCTTTCGGCCCAGGGCCTAATCCTGGAGACCCGGGATGGAGTCCCACGTTGGGCTTCCTGCATGGAGCCTGCTTCTCTCTCTGCCTGTGTCTCTGCCTCCCTCCCTCTGTCTGTCTGTCTGTCTGTCTCTCTCTCTCTCTCTCTCTGCATGTGTGTGTGTGTGTGTGTCTCATGAATAAATAAAATCTTTAAAAAAAATAAAAGCAGAATTACTCAAGTGTCTTACCCTATGGGGAATGGATCTGATTAGCACAAATGCTGATGAGAAGAAAAAGTGTTATAACCAAGGGCTACAGGGCAGGTACTTGAGTTGATTATCCTAGCTACAGATTTAATTTGCAATCCAGTGGCTTTTCCATTAATGGGTGGGTCTGTAACACATTGAAGTCTTCAGGGCATATTTCAAAACTTCCTCTTTTTCAACCTCTTATACCCTCTACCTATTGGGTCTCCTACAAATACCCTGAGCTTCCACCCTCCCCTCCGACCCCCATGTTCTAACTTTAGTCCAGGGCTTGGTTCACATGCAAGGGATTATTCCAAATACTCTAAAGACCACATCCCTCCAACGTCTGCTTTTCATCTTTCTGTAGTGTGGAGCTAACTGTGTCACTTTGCAAGGTGTTTGAGAGTGTCTTATCTTCTAGTCCATGAGTTCTTTAGGGAGTGAGCACTCATTCATCCCAATGCTGAGAAGACAATGGGAATTTAATGTGTACTGAACAAATGATTTTTATTTAGATCAGTGATAATATGCAAAAGAGACACTGGAGCATGTATCACTACAACTTTTCAAGGACTCTGTATTGTACATAGACTTGCACTAATAAGAACCCATGAACGATCCATGAAAAGCAATAGTAAGCAGATCCCAGTAAATCATGTGACAAGGTTGGACTTTACTGAAATGACATTTGCTGGATAAGCATTGGACTTACCAGTCAGCAGATCCTTGTTAAGATTTTCTCTGCTTATAGAAAGAATATACTGCAAGAAAAATATAATAGATACTGTTTGCTTCTGGGCAATGGACAAACATACCTCACATTATTCACTCAGCAACAGGAAATAACTAGCAGGGGGTTGCAAGCTTAGTTTTGTAATCATCTAGCTAAGTAGCTTTTTAAAAAACAAAACAAAACACTATAACCAAATACACTTAATAAAATGTTCAATATTAAACTTAGGTTTTTTTCAAGGTTTAATGCCACAAAAACCAAATCCTTGTCTTACAGCAAAAATGTTATTTTAGCTAAGATAGTTTTGTTTTAACAACATCTCATACTTTCATGTCAGGTCTCCAAATGAGCTGTTAATGACAGTATCACTAGAATAAATGTGCAATTTCCTAAAGAGAATACTTTGAAGGTATTAAATTCAATGTGAAAGCACTGTGTGTGGGGTTGATGGCCGTGGTGGTGAGGAAAGTGTTGATAGAAGTGTAGGGTCAGTCCTCACTGGGGCACATGTTCTTTTTTCTTTTTTTCTTTTTTCTTTTTTTTTATAGGACAATTCAGCAGGCTGACTGTTCCATGAGGCACAGTGGGCCCAATGCCTAGGGGGTCACATACTTTTTGGGGCCCATGAAAAGTTTCTACTTTTAGTTGATACTAAAATTAGAAGAAAAAAATAGATTCAGAGGATGCTGAGATTCATTATATTCGTATATATATATTTATATATAACAAATATATGAGAATGAATCTAGCCCGGATTATTTAATCTTTATACCAATGCACTTATAAAATCTAATTTCTAGTACTTATTGTTTCAGAGAGAGGGACCCACAAAGGCAAAAGTGCCTTTTCAGAGCCCCGGAAAGTCATAACGCAGCCTTGCCATTCAAGGATATGAGTGAATTCCTTAAAAATTTAAGCATACATTTCCCAAACTTAGAAGCATCTCATCATTTAATGCAAATATGGTAATTTATAAATCTTCATCTGACCCAAAAGTAGACATTTATTATTAATAGCCAAATCTATAGTTGGTATAAAAATAACTTGGTCATGCTACAAAGACAATGACTGAGAAGAAGCTTCCTGTGTCTTTGCTATAAATTAAAATTAATAGGACTTCTTCATTCTCTGCGTCTTTGTTCTGTTTTCCAGTCTTCTGTGTCATTAATCTCCTCATTTCGATGGAAACCACGCTTGTTGTTCAAAGTATGTTAGGAAACATTTAAACTAGGAAGGCTCATTTATGTGGGGAAAATATTCTGTCCATATCGGTTGCCAGGCTGGGTTGACACTTGCATCATTGGAAACCGATACACACACTGGTCCTCTGGAGGGAGTCCCTGTCCATTCTACCCAGAGTCCGTGGGCAGCATTGTGTCATAAGCAAAAGTTAGAGCCTCCCCCACCAAGTTTCACTTCTCCAATTCCTATTCTAAAAGGTTGATGTTATGAAGAAAAAATATGAATGAGAATAAACAAGTCTTCACAATACATATAAATCAAACCATCATGCTGTTCACCTTGAACTTACAATATGACATATGCCAATTATTTCTCAGTAAAACTGGGGGGAAAGCCCTCATGTCTGGTGAAGGCTACAAAGAAATAATTCTCATATTCTAGCTCCAGATTTCCTATGTGGATAGCTTTATCAGACTTATTTAATTTATCATAACAAAATAGAAACAAAAAAAACTCTGGTTGTCAGCTGGCAGCCACAAATTTCAAATGACAGTTCAAATGACCACAATTTAATCTATTTTATGAGTCCTTATTCAACTGTCCTTACTCATCATATTGCATTTTTTTCATATTGCATTTTTATAAAATTCTGTGTATTCTTCCTAGACATGTAGTAGCATAAGTATAAATGAATTGAACTTTATTAATCCAACACTGAAACTGGCTGCTGTTGCTGCTTAGTGATTCATATTTGACAGACTAAATTGTTTCAAATGGACCTTCACAAAAGTCCTTAATAAAATTAAAGTTATCTTAAAAATGCAAACAAACAAAGAATAAACAAGTCAGGAAGTATAAAGTGGTCCTGGTAACCAAAACATTAATAATAAAACCTAAAGGAAGTTGGATTATCTCCTCTGGAGATTTGTAAAACTGTAGTTGCAGTGCTTTTTCAAATATATTAGAAAGCATGTTTACACTCTATATCCCAAAAGCCTTCAAATGGGGATGTTTGCTAGTAAGGGGGTGCTATTTCTCTGAGGCATAGGACATTAGGGGCAAGAATTGGGGAACTAGGGAAGGTGGATGGGGGGATGGATGAAATAGGGTGAGGGGGATTAAGAGTATGCTTGTGATGAGCACCTTATAATATACGGAATTGTTGAATCACTGTATTGTACATCTAAATTTTTTTTAAAGATTTTATTTATTTACTCATGAGAGACACACAGAGAGAGAGAGAGAGAGAGAGAGAGAGAGAGAGAGTTAGAGACACAGGCAGAGGGAGAAGCTGGCTCCATGCAGGGAGCCTGACATGGGACTCGATCCCTGGACCCCATGATCACACCCCGGGCTGAAGGCAGCGCTAAACCACTGAGCCACCCGGGCTGCCCTACACCTGAAATTAATATAACGCTGTGTGGTAACTACATTTGAATGAAATAAAATAAAAAATATTTTTCTGCATCATTAAAAAAATTGGGGGAGCTCTGACCTGCTCTCTATATCAGGGAATATTTTGATAGTTCCCAGGGCACTTTGGGAGGGAGACAACAGGAACCAGCAAGACTGGAAGAGCCTGGATCCCACCAGGGAGAAAAGGCAGAGAAAATGGCAGGTGGAGAAGAGAGGCTCAGAGAAGGAGGGAGGCCAGCAGAAGGTAGGCTGCCTGGGACCATGGAGAGGGCTTTGCCCTTCACAGGCTGTGGAATTGAGCGACCCAAAACAGTTTTATATAGCTCTTAAAGAAGGTGCTGTGTTTAACCCCATTATAAAATTAACAGTGCAAACCAAATAGAGGTGGCTGCAAATTTAGCATTAACCAAGTTCTTAAGAATTGAGAATATGGGATCGGTGAGCCAGTGAGCACTTCCTCCCTTTTCTAATGTATTGAAGGCCCCACATGGGAACTCCCCCCAACACCTTCCCCTTCTTGGGCATCAGTGGGGATGAAGCTGCCCCCTTCTGCTTCCCCTGGTGCTGGGGGTGAAAAGGCTAGTTTCAGGCTCAAGCCCACATCACTCTGCTCATCTAACTTTCCTGATATTCTGAACCATGTCTTATTTTTTTTAAGATTTTATACATTTATTCATGAGAGACACAGAGAGAAACAGAGAGAGGCAGAGACATAGGCAGAGGGAGAAGCAGGCTCCATGCAGGGAGCCCAATGTGGGACTTGATCCAGGTCTCCAGGACCAGGCCCTGGACTGAAGGAGGCACTAAACCGCTGAACCACCCGGGCTGCCCTGAACCATGTCTTACTCCTTGGTTTACTCATACTTTATTGGCTCAGTCTCTGAGGAGGAGATGATGTCAGAATTGGCCTACTTGGCTAATTCCCTGTGAATCCAAGACAAAGGTGGGATAATTACTACGGTCACTCCCAATTTAGCAAAATCAAGACTGCCCAACGCTCCTGGGCACACCTCCTACACCAGGCTGCACTGGCCACTGTGCTTGAGGACACCCATCCTGAGTTCCCCTTGATGTTGACCTCATGTACCCATGCAGCCTCTTTCTTCATCTGTAAATCAAAGTGGTTGTATTAAGAGTCCAAGGTTGCTGGTTACTGTAAGGTTCTGTTATGTAAAAGTGCATTACAAGTTTTCTTAGCCAATACACACTCAGTGCTTAAAAATTTACATTCTTTCAGAATTCTAGTCTCACCCAACTCCCTGCCATAGATGGATATGGACCCTCATTTAGTTGGGAAAATGATATTTTGGTGCCAATTTAATATTTAAATGAAATGTCTGTCTCAAACTTCACTTTCTCTGTGAGATCTTTTCTGAAAACTAAAGCTACCTCCTCTCTGAGCCACACAGCTGAGCACTCTTTCACTCAGGAGAGTTCTTCCGAAAGAACTTGATTACCATGTGTCCTCACCAGGCTGCCAGCTCCTCTCCTGGTTCTCAGCAACTCACACTAGCACGGGGGTTGGCACACAGGAGGACAGTTACTGCTCATGGAAGGGATACAGTCAGGATGCACAGCTTATACTTGCCTTGCATGTGCAAATCTTGTGTTTCTTTCCTGCAGCACCAAGCCCAGTTTGGGGCTGATTAAACAGGACATATTAGTTATTCAACTAAATAGGACATATTAATCATACAAAAATGTTTCTCTGACTATAGATGGTCGGTAGACTTTCTTCTGCTCCCTTCTCCTGCTGGGCTCGTGCAGTGAGATTCTGTATCTATGTTTTTACAAGGCCAAAATAAGCAGGTTATTCTTTTAGAAAGTCACTAAATGGAAAATTTTGATCCTTCCCCACCCTTCTCCCATCCTCATAGGCCCTTAGTTGTTGGGATGTTTTACTTTTCAGCAGCTTTTTAAATGAACTTTAATTGTAGTAAATTTGAACTTTAATTGTATGAACTTTAATTGTAGATCCTTCCCCACCCTTCTCCCATCCCATCCAATCCTTAGTTGTTGGGATATTTTACTTTTCAGCAGCTTTTTAAATGAACTTTAATTGTAGTAAAACACACATGATATAGCCTTAACCATCTTAACCCTTCTTTAGCGTATGGGTCAGTGGCGTTAAGGACATTCACATTGTCGTGCAACCATCAGTATCATCGAGCCCCAGAACTCTATATCTTATTAATCTGAAACTCTATACCCATTAAACAATTGCTTCCCATTTCTACCTCCCTCCAGGCCCTGGCAACCACCATCTACCCTCTGTTTCTATGAACTTAACTACTCTAGATACCTCACACAAGTCTTATATGGTACTTGTCCTGTAACTGGTTTATTTCACTTAGTATAAAGCCTCCCAGTTTCAACCATGTTGTGGCAGGTGTCAGGATTTCCTTTTAAAAAAAATTTTTTTAAAGGTTGAATAGTATTCCAGTGTACATTGTATAGAAAACTTCCCCTTCTCCTCCGGTGAGTGTCTTCCTCACTCTCACGTACTACTCTGACACCAGATGCGTGTGTTGGGGCAGTGGGGCAGGGGGTGTGGGGAGCATCCTCCACCAGGCCATTTATCAGTGACTCAAGCTGGCTGACTTACAATCGAACAATTCTAACACTATATGCCTGGAGTTAGCCGATCCCAAAAGCCAAGATATCACAGTCCCATGAGACTGCACCCACCCCTCCACACACACACACTTCAAAGGCCAATGGCAATGCAGCTTGGACCTGGGCCCAATTGGCTATAAATCAAAAGTTCCCATGACCTTCTCTTCAGGTTCAATTGACTTGCTAGAGCAGCTACCAGAACTCAGGAAAACAGTTGGCTCACTGTTTATCAATTTATTATTAAAGGATATGATAAAGGGTACAGATGAACATCTAGTTGGAAAGATGTGGAGGGCAAGATATATGTTTGTCCTCTATTGGTGTGCTACTCTCCTACCAGCATCTCTATGTGTTCATGGGCCAGGAAGCTCTCTGAACTCCATGCTTTTGGGATTTTTATGGAGATTCCTTCCCATGGGCATGATGGTTCATTAACTCCATTTCCAGTCCCTCTCTGGCAATGGGTGGGGCTGAAAATTCCAAGCTTCTAAATATGGCTTGGTCTTTCTGGCAACCAGCCCCCATCCAGGAGCCCACCAAGTGACCTGTTACCTCAGAACAAAAGAAACTCTTATCACCCAGGAAATTCCAAGGGATTTAGGAGCTCTGTGTTAGGAATCACAGTCAAAGAACAAATATTAGAACAAAAGATCTCCTACTGTTCTTATCATTTAGGAAATTACAAATTTTAGGAGTTCCGTGCCAGGAACTAGGGGCAGAAACCAATATGTTTTTTTCTATTATCTTACATATTTATATACTACATTTTGTTTATCCATCCATCCATTGATGGACATTTGGGTCACTTTTGCTTTTTGACTACTGTGAATAATGCTGCTATGATCATGAGTATTCAAATATTTCTTCAAGTCCTTGCTTTCAGTCTCCCTTTCCCCAGAAAGGGAACTGCTGGATTATATGGAGATTCTATTTTTAATTTTTGGAGGAATGACTACACTGTTTTCCATAGCAGCTACACCATTTTATATTCCTACCAACAGCACACAGGTGTTCCGATTTCTCTGCATCTTTCCCAACACTTATTATTTTCTGTTTTTCTCCCTGTTTTCTGATGAGTGTGAGGTGTTTCAAGCACTTTTACCATCACAAGGTCTACACAGACCTTGTTCCCATGAGCACCTGTGTTTTATCTCTTGCTGCCCAAGGTGTGTGGTCCATGGACACCACCTGAGTGTGTTTAGAATGTGTAATCTTGGCCTCCATCCTGGCCCTACAGAATTAGACTCTGCATTTTAACACAATCCCAGCAGAATCTGAGAATAGCTGATCCACCTGCAATGGGAGCTCGGTGGGAGCAGAGACTCAAAGAATATAAACCTCACTTGGGTTCTGCACTTAATAAAATGAAGCCTTGTTGGATAAAGCAAGTTGGGTTTTTCTTTGGTTGATAGATGTTTGGTACATCCATTCTCTCTCAAATAAACAAACTTAGAAGCTATAAATATTATTATTATTTTAAAGATTTTATTTATTTATTCATGAGAGACACACACACAGAGAGAGAGAGAGGCAGAGACACAGGCAGAGGGAGAAGCAGGCTCTATACAAGGAACCCAACGTGGGACTTGATTCTGGGTCTCCAGGATCAGGCCCTGGGCTGAAGGTGGCGCTAAACCACTGACCCACCTGGGCTGCCCAGAAGTTATAAATATTAGATAAAAATACATTCTTCCCCCAACTCTGTTATAATGTAAAGATAAGAAAAACACAAGGTAAGATAAAGGATTTTCTTTTGTAAACTACATCACCATCTGCCTTCTGTTGTTTTAGAAGTCATACAGCACTGAAAACATTTCTGGTTCATTCTATAAAGTCCTTTATAATTAAATTTGGGGCAAGAGAGTCAATTTGGGGAAAACCCTCTAGAGTTGCTCCTGCATTTTATGCTTGACAATAAATACATGATAATCCTCTCTATGTAATTGAAAGGAGATGGGAGAGAAAGGGTGTCCAGGCCACCATGAACAATGCATATAGGCAAAAAGAGCTTCAGAGGGATGAAAATTTAACTAACTCCTATTGAGTGTTTATTAGGGAAATTGAAACCTATCTTAAAGTCTCCTATCAATTAACATCTTAACTAGTATATGTTTCCAAATTGTAGACTGATCCAGGCAAGGCCAAAGATAGATCTAGAGAGGAAAGGAGGGGCCGATGTTAGACTCAATTGTAAGCAAACACTATCTTCAGGGTAAACCCACCTGTGACTTGGTCCCATAGGGAATTGCAGACTTTTTTCCTGAAAGAGAATGAATCATTCTTGCTCTCATGGGAATGCCTTGAGATACAATCTGAAATAAAATCAGAAATATCAAGTTCAATTACCATAACATGGCATCATCCAAATAAGATATATACCAGTTTTAAAATGAGATTTTTCAAATATTTTCAAAAAATTAAAAATTAATGCAAAGGATAATGGAAGTATGATGGAAACAATGAAAATTATGTTCCCGCAAATTTTAGTTTTTGGGTTTTTTTTTAACCTTTAGATTTTGGAATTGACTTAGATTTTATCTGCTCTAAATCACATATTATCATTAAAGAAAATGGTTCAGTGTTGGAGAGTTTATAAGTGATTTTTTTTTTTCATGATCACAGAAGAGAGTAAAACATTAGGAAGAAAACTTAGGATGCCCAAACCTCCATGAAGACTGTTTTCCTACACACACATCTAAGGAAAACTGTGGAACTAGAACCGGTACCTGTACTGACCCATATTATCACTTCAAAGACACGTTATCCACAAAAGTATTATCAGCAAAATATATTACATCTGTTCACACTTCCAAGCTACATGTGAGACAGTGAGAAGTTTGGCAACATTGAGACCACATCAGGAAAATCTACAGACCTACAGTACTTATCCAAACCCTGGGGACCCATTGGTTTCAGGGTTCAAAGTTTTCAAACTTTAGATAGGTAATGGAATGCATATCCAGATATCACAGAACACCCCATGGACTGTGGGGGCACCACCCCATATCGGAGGATAATATATCTGTAGCAAAACATTTCACACTAAATGAGAATTTTTAAAAGGCCACAAGAAGCCTCACATCAGGTCAAGTTTGCTGCTGAATGGGTGATGAAAAGCTTTCTGTTTCCAGAGTTTTTTGGAGTATAGAATTGTGGACAAGAGACTATGGACCTGTATGGTCAAAAGAATGGGATTTTCTGGCCTCTTCTCATTGGGATGCCTCCTCAGGTCACACTTTCTGTAGGCTGAGACCTATCCTCTCATTGAGAACCCAGTGTCAGAAGAGATCATTAGGGGGGTTGTAGGATCCCCCTGCTCTGCATCATGCTCCAGGTCCCCCAAGCTGCCTCAAGTGTCAAATGTTCATCATCTTGCCAAATTTAGAAGTTTGAAAACCTTTGTAGGATGCATTTTCATGCAAAGTTTCTTGGCATCATATGGTGCTTTGAATTAGGCTGAAATCAAGAGCATGTAATTGTTGGAAAATTACAAGTATGATCTTTTATAAGGAAAATATGTTAATAAGGTACCTGATCTTCCAGGCCAATGGCATTCAAGGCTTGTCGTCCTCTATAAGAAAGGGCCAGATTAATGCTTCTTCCACGTGCAAATTTAGCCACTCGGATATCTAAGACATGGAAAGTAGACTCCGTATTACAAAAAGCTCCTCTATCTTAGGACAGGGTAAGCACACAGCATCTGAACAACTGGCGCAATCAGGACCAAGCTAAAAGACCCTGTTAAGTTCTTTAAAGCAAACACTAATCATAGATTTTGTATTAAAATAATTTAGATAGTTGAAGTTGTTAAAAAAATTTAAGTTCCTCTTTCTAAAAAAATTTATTTTTAAAATTGTCAGAGAATCAATTTTCTCATAATTTTCAGTATTTTCTTACCTTCCCTAGCTTCATATACATCAACTTGGAAATTCTTCTTTGCAAGGAAGCATGCATTTAATGATCCAACCTAGGAATCAAAGCAATTTTTTTCATATTTTTATCTGATTCCACAATTCTAGAGAATTTTTGGCAGTATACAACATTGAGTGTAATTGTACTTGTACTAGCCTTGACTGTCACATTGATTTACTTAATCACTAATAGAAAGCATCATTTGCAAAAATAATGGGATTAACTCAAGATTAAACTGTATGATTTTCAGAAGTAGCTTTGATATTTTTCTTTTTAAGTTTTTTATAGTGAGATATAACTTTCATACAGAAAGATAATAAAATGTGTACAGTTTACAGAATACTTAGAAAGCAAACATCCATATAACTACCACTCTGGTCAAAAACAGAATATCACTGCCAGTCCTTCATAGTTCTCCCCATTTCTTCTCCAGTTATGATCCCCAATCTTTCACCAAGCAAATGTTATTCTGACTTTTGTAATAACCCATCCTTGCTTTTGAATCAGTAATTAGAATCACACTTGTATATATTCTCTTTTTTAACTCAACAAAATGCTTCTGAGGTTCATATATGTGATTGTACATAAACCCCAGGTCATCCACTTTCTTTACTGTACGATTTCTTCATTGACTGAATTCTCACAGATTATTTAGCTGTTCTACTGTTGAAGGACATTTGAGTTGTTTTGCTCTGAGAATATTTTTTCTCACTTTTATTGAAATATAATTGACATATAATATTGTATAAATTTAATGTATATAATATAATGGTTTGATAAATGTATACATTGTGAAATGATGATCTGAGAGCATTATTAATGCTGCAGGGATGAGATAGATACCACCTCATACCAGTCAGAATAGATAAAACTAACATCTCAGGAAACAACAGATGTTGGCAAGGATGTGGAGAAAGGGGAACCCTCTTACATTGTCGGAAGGGATGCAAACTGGTGCAGCCACTTTGGAAAACAGTATGGAGGTCCTTCAAGAAGTTAAAAATAGAGCTACCCTATGAATCAGCAATTATACTACTTGGTATTTATCTAAAGGATATAAACATTAGTGATCTGAAGGGGCACCTGCACCCCAATGCTTATAGCAACAATGTCCCCAATAGCCAAAATATGGAAAGAGCCCAGATGTCCATCAACAGATGAACATATATGTATACATGTATACCTAGATACACACATATATACAATGGAATATTACTCAGCCATCAAAAAGAATGAAATTTCACTATTTGCAATGACATGGATGGAACTAGAGGATATTATGCTAAGTGAAATAAGTCAATCAGAGGAAGACTAGTATCATATGATTTCATTCATATGTGGAATTTGAGAAACAAAACAGATGAATATAGGGGAAGGGAGGGAAAAATAAAATAAGATGATATCAGAGAGGAAGTGAGACAAATCATAAGAGACTCTTAACTATAGGAAACAAACTTAGGGTTGCTGGAGGGGAGATGGGTGAGGGGATGGGAAACTGGGTGATGAGCATAAAGGCAGGCACTTGACGTCATGAGCACTTAGTGTTATATGCAACTGATGAATCACTGAAGTCTGCCTCTGAAACTGATACTACACTATATATCAATTAATTGATTCTAAATTTAAAAAAATTTTTAATGCTACAGGGGCACCTGGGTGGCTCAATCAATTAAGTGTCCAGCTTTTGGTTGCAGTTCAGGTCATGATCTCAAGGTCATGAGACTGAGCCCCACATTGGGCTCCACACTGATCATGGAGCCTGCTTAAGATTGTCTCTGTGCCTCTCCCTCTGCTCCTTCCTCTTGTGCTCTCTCGATCTAGAAAATTAAAAAAAAAAAAAAACAATGCTGCAAAACCCAGTTTTGTACCTGTATCCCATATACAGTTGCAGAACTTTTCTCTAGGGTTTTATACATGGAAGTGGAATCCCTAGTCAAAGGTTTATGTATCTTCACTGTAATAAAGGTCAAACTGTTTTGGAACTTTGTGTGAATGTGTTTTCTTACCAACAGCTTCTGAGAGTCTTTCCTTGTCAGCACTTGGTGTTCTCAAACTTTTAAATGTTGTGATGGATGGGTAAGATGGAAGGTGTGTGGTTTTAATTTGTATATGACTGATTGCTAAAAAGGTTAAACTCTTTTTCATATACTGACTGGCTATTTGGATCTCTTCTGTAAAGTGCCTGTTTGTCTCTTGCCCATTTTCTATTGGGCTTTTTTTCCTGCAGATTACTTGAGTTATTCATAGATCTGAGTACAGAGTCCTCATCATTTTCAAATGTTGCAAATATTTTCTTCTGTTCTGGGGCTTGTTTTTAAACTTTATAGTATCTTTTACAAAATTTTTTTATTATTGAAGTACCATTGGGTTGACATATTGCTATATTTGTTTCAGATGTGAAACTCTACAGTAGCTTTTAAAGATGAGGAGCTCTTTAATTCAGTCACCTTTATCCATCTTCTACATTATTTTTTAAAATATATTTATTTATTTTAGTAAGATAGAGTTGAAGCATGAGGGAGAGGAAGAGAGGGGAGAGAGGGAATTGAAAACAGATTCCCCACTAAGCACAGAACCTGACTCAGGGCTCAATCTCACAACCCTGAGATCATGATCTGAGCCAAAATCAAGAGTCTGACACTTAACCAACTGCACGACCCAAGCGCCCCCATCTTTTCCATTATTATTAATGCATTTGGCATCTTGTTTAAGGAATGTTTTCCTACTCTGAGATTATGAAGAATTTTTTGCTGTTGTCTTCTCAAGACTTTGTAGTGTTGCCTTTGAACAGCTTTATGTAGGTCTCAGTGATTTATTTGCCACCTCATCGCTAGCAACTTATACTTGGCAATATCATCCATATTCAAGTATCACACTAGAATTTTTAGCAGCACTGAATGGTGTTAACTAACTTTTCTTCTTGAAACGCTAAACTTCCTTTGTTTTCTGATTTTCTTCATATATCTTTGGTCATTCCCTTTTTCTCTCTTTCATCCTCATAAAGAAAGACAGTCAGACCCTGGAGTTTCTAAAGCTTCCAGACTGGTCTATCCTCCACCCATGGGGATGCACTGACTTTCATCTCTTACACAGATCTCATTTTTGGGCTCATGCATACAAATGCTTCATTGCTGTAGCCTCCTACAGGTCTCCAAGCTCCTCAGAACCAATAACTCCAAACTGAAACTTGTGACTCTTGCCCCACATTATGTCAATTCTCTGCAAATATGTAAATGAATAATATTCGGATGGGATAGAAACCTAAGCTTCATCCTTGGGACCTCTCTCTCTCCCTCATCTCCACATCCAATCCATTCCAAGTTCTGCCAATTCTACCTCTTGATGTTTCTTTACCCATCTTTTTTCATTTTTACCATTATGCTTCTATCATGTCATCATGATCACTATGCTTGACTAATGTCAAGCTTCCTGTCTGTTTTACCAGCATTCATCTGACTTCTTGCCAACAGATTATCCATGAGCAGCCATTTGGTGTGATGGCAAAACAGGTCATTTGAACTAAATCTTCTACGAGATAAAGGAAACAGAAGAATGTAGCATTTGGAGCCATGTCTGATGGTATCTACTGATTGCCAGACAGGCTGAGAACTTCAGCAGAGTTTATGACAGATTCATGAAGCCAGAGGATAAAATCTGGAATTCAGGACAGCAACCCAGATTCAGAAAGGTTAGTAAATCCCCAGGCTTTGAGTCAGGACCCTAAACAGGTACATCCTGGAAGTTAGGCAAACTGGAAATGAACCAATGATGGAAGGGACGGTAGACAGCCTAGAGATCATCTTTAGTCTTGATTGGATCACGCTCATCCAGGACTGTTATTAGCCACAGCCACCTGACAGAAGCAAACATAATACTCTCTAGAGAAAAATGCCTGCATCATAGGTCTCAAATTTTCTCCATGATATTTAAAAATTATGCAGATCATATCACTCTTCTGCCCTAGCTCTGCTAGCCTTCTTTCAACTGCTTGTACATACCATGCTTTCTGCTAACAGAGGATTTACCACATACTATTTCCATAGCCAACAACCTTCTTCCTTTCCCTCTTTACTTGGTAAACCTACATCCATCCTCAGAATTCCATGCAGCTTCACTTGTTGAGGAAGCTTCCTTGGCCACACTATCTCAAACCCCTTCTTATGGGTTCTCATGGTTCTCATGGTGCTATAGACTTTTCCTTTGAAAAAATGTTAAAGGTTGAATTGTTCACCCCCAAATTCATCTTCTGCAGTCCTATCCTTCACACATTAGAGTATGACTTCTTTGAAAAGGGGGTCTTTACAGAGATAATTAAGTTAAAATGAGGTCTTTAGGATGAGCCATAATCCAACATGATTGGTGTCCTTATAGAAAGAGGACTTTGGAATTTTTTATTTTTTTTTAATTTTTTTATTTATGATAGTCACAGAGAGAGAGAGACAGAGAGAGAGACAGAGGGAGAAGCAGGCTCCATGCACCGTGAGCCCAACGTGGGATTCGATCCCGGATCTCCAGGATCGCGCCCTGGGCCAAAGGCAGGCGCCAAACCGCTGCGCCACCCAGGGATCCCAGGACTTTGAATACTGATAGACACACAGAGGGAAGATGATATTAAGAGACATGGGGAGAGGGATGCCTGGGTAGCTCAGTGGTTGAGCTTCTGCCTTTGGCTCAGGGTGTGATCATGGAGTCCCGGGGACAAATCCCACATCAGGCTTCCTTCATGGAGCCTGCTTCTCCCTCTGCCTGTGTCTCTGCCTCTTTCTCTCTCTCTCTGTGTCTCTCATGAATAAATAAATAAAATCTTTTTTTTGAAAAAAAAAAAAAAGAGAGAGATGGGGGAAGCTGGCCATCTGCAAGCCTAGGAGTGAGGCCTGGGACTCATCCCTCCCTCATACTTTCAGAAGGAACCAACCTGCTGACTCCTGGACTTCTAGCCTCCAGGACTATAAGACAATAAAAATCTGTTCTTTGAGCCACTTGGTTTGTGGTACTTTGTTATGGAAGCCTGTAGAAACTAATACAAAGAACTTATTACAATTGAAAGTTTACATC